ACTTTATCACTTTGACCGTTTTTTCGGTTATTTGGAAAGAGTGGAATAAAATGGCTTTTGATAGTATAGAGAGTAGTTCTAATAGATTAACAAATGGATGGATTCACTTGTTTGGGACAATTGTGCTTGGTCATGACATCACTAATGATGAGGATTTTGGGGATGTCCTTGATGCTCTAACTTCTTTGTAGTGATTTTGTACACGGGTAGTACCTCCATTTTTGGTACCTTGTAAATAATACTTTACACTTTTTATTTCAAAAAAATTAACAATTAGTTTTATTTTTTTGGTTCCATTGTTTTGGGACATAATATTGACTACCTAGATGACCTTGGTTTTGTGATTGGTAACTTAATAGATTTATAAATAATTTTGTACATGAGTGGTGCCCTCTTGGTACCTCTACATCAATTCATTCAACACTTTTATTTCAAAAAAAATAATAATAAAAAAGAAAATAGAATGATTTATTTTTCTATTTCTTAGATTTCTTATTTTCTTGTTTTTCCCTATTTACTAGGTTTTCTAAATTTCTTATTTTTAATGTATTTAGATCCTATAAATAAGGTACCTAATTTAGTTACTAGATAGACAGTTTAGGATTATTATTCAAATATTGAGATATTGTTTTGATTATTGATATCCAAAATCTTCAAGGTTTTTTTCTAATAAAAATTTCTCTAGGTTTGTCTTCAAGCTCTCTTTATCCTACATCACAAACATAATCAAGATAGAACAACAAGTAATCAAAATATACTTCATAATCAAAATATACTTCACACTTTTATTTCAAAAAAATAAAATAATCAGAATAGAACAAGTCAAAGGAAACAAGAATGTCATACGAACATACTTCAATCTTGATGACCAGATTCCAACATCAAATCTCTTAAAGCAAAACGCCAAAAAATCTTCACAGGAAGGCCTCTTAAAAACTGAAAAGTTAAACAACAAAGTTAGAATAAGCAAAAGAACAGACATCAAGTTAAAAAGATTGCAGCTTGAAAAATGAGTCTTCACCTGATTTTCCTGATACTCTAGCATATGGCCTATATCCATAAGGAACATATGGAACAATATCTGCAAGTAGTCCATTCAAGTCAAGCACAAGAAGCTTCCTCTTAGAATGACTAGCACAAGGTCTTTCTGACAAAGAATGCAAAATTTGGGAGAAATTGTCTTGTTTATCAGCATCATTTAGGTCACCACTATCTTTTGTTATATTCAAACTGGATAAAGAAGGAATACCCTCTTCTATCTTTGTTTCTTTCTCTGCATTCTTTTGCCTGGGAGTGCAAGAAAAGTCATGGCCAGCCAAATCATCACAACTTCTCTTGCAATTAATTAGACACTTATTGCAGCTGTCATCCTTCTCATGTTTATTTTGAACTGGAATCGATACCTCAGCTACAGTACGATTATTTCTCTCTTCAATGCACTCCTCATAGATCTTTAACACTGATAAATCTTCCACGATTCTGTCTCCACCAATAGCCTCTTCTGGATTCATTTCCATTCTGTCCGCAACCTCCTTGGATGTGACTTCACTATTTGAACCATTTGCAGTGCATTTCTTCTGCAGAATATGTTCTGAAACTTTTGCTGATGTAACATGACTACCTTCCAGTATTACATCTAACTTAATCTCCGAAACGACAGCTGCATGTTCCCTGTATGAATGGTCCTGCGAGGTCTGTGCCAAAGCCTGCTCCTCAGTAGTTTTTAAATCATTAACAGAGAAAGAGGGCATTCCCCTTTCATTATGACTTGTTATGATTGTTTTCTTCTTCCTCTGGTTGGTTTCGACATTTTGTGTATCAGGCAAAATTTGATCAACCTCGGTATCAAAATCTTGTTGAACAGAAGTTAAATGCTTCGGTAAACCAACTTCATGAGAGATAAGACAATTTTCCTTTATATTTGTTGACTCAAAACCTGCAACTTCAAGAACAGGCTTCCCATCATTCTCGCTATCACAGTTTGCTTCATTATTCTTTGAGGAATCATGTCGGTTACTCCAAGGCTCTCCTTCATTCTTTTCTGTGCACAAACTCGAACTTGTGTTAAGTTCTGATATTTGAGGCTCAGAACATTCCAGGACTTGTTTATGTGAGCATGAATCTACTAGCGAAGCATCCTTCCTTGTAGAATTTTCTTCCTGTGAAACATTTTCTTTATCATCATTCTTAAGGGCACTGCAACTCTTCTTCTTCCGCTTCTTTATTTTTACCCTTCCTGGTGGACGGCCTAACTCAGGATGACCCATTTCTGAATCATTCTGTCTGCCAGTATCAACTGAACCCTCCATTACAAGTGAAGTGATCTTAACTAAAGAAGGATCCTTCTTACTACAGTGATTAATTTCATTATTTCCCGGGGCATTTTCCTGTCTCTTCTTTTGCTTCTTTCCAGTCCTCTCTTCAGTTGGATTGCTTAATTCTGAGCCAATATCAATCCAATCCTCTTTTACAAGGGATGTACTATCAGTTAGAGAAGTATCTTTTTCAGTAACATGATTTATCTTATTATTTCCCAGGGCATTCCCCTTCCTCTTCTTTACCTTCTTTCTTTTCCTCTCTTCTTGCAGATGGCTTGGTTCCGAGTCCAAATGCATCTTTTCTAGGTCAAAACTTAGGCCAGTATTCTCTGTTACAAGGGAATTAATCTTAATTGAGGAAGCACCTCCTTCAGCACCATGGTTCATGTTATTGTTTTCCAAGGAGTTCCCCTTCATCTTCTTCAACGTCTTTCTCATCTTCTCTCCGGATGGATGGCATACGCCAAATTCACAATTTCTGAACCCGTTTCTGTGCCAATATTGATCTCATCATCCGTTACATGGGAAGTGGTCTGAATTGAAGAGGCATCACCTTGGCCACCATTGTTCACATCTTCATTTTCAAGTGCATTCCCCCGCTCTTCTTCTGCTTCTTTCATTTCTCTTTTCTGCCGGATGATTAATTCTGTGCCCAGATGGACTTCTCTGAACCATCCTTC